ATGAGTGATGTCCAGACACCAGTGAGGGTCGCAGGCAGAAGGACCAGGGGACAGCAGTTGACAGCCTTCCTGGGTGCAGTCCAGGGATGGCCACCAGGGGGTGGCACAGGGCTGCCTTTTGGTCCCTCCAGGTCACCCTGCCCAGCCCTGCTCAGTGGAATTCCAGGGGTGTGGGCAGAAGACGGCCATTCCCAGGCCCTCCCACCTCACTACACACAGTCACTCCAGGGACCCCCCTACACCTCCCATGTTCTCCTCCCACCCCTCGGAGCCAGGGGAAACTGAGGCTGGCAGTCACCCAGCTCCTTCGCTGGCCTCCTGCTTGGTTCTGCCTGCAGGCTGGCATTGGGGCATCCCAGCAGCCTAAGGGAGGTTGTGGCTTCTGCACCTGGCCATGGGGTGGAGCGGGGTGAAGGCTGCCTGGGGGAGCCGTGTGGAACAGGGGGCAGAGGACTTGGGGCACAGCCAGCCCGGGCCTCCTTAGAGGAGGCCCTTTCTCACATCCCAGGGCCCGCCTGGGTGCCCGGCCAGGGCTGCGGCTGGCTCGCTTAGGAATTCCCCTGCATTCCTCTGCGTTCCTCTGCTGGAAGGACAGGACTTGGCAGAGCACTCATGATTATCTCATGGGTTGCTGGGAGCAGGCCCACGCTGACCACGGCCATGGTGGGGCAGCGGCGGTGCGGACGGCACCCACACCCCATTCCTTGTGGTGACTCAGACTTGCACGGCCCCATGCTGGCCTCACTCTGACCCTGTAGCCAGTTCTGTCGGTCCAGCCCTAGGCCTGGGCTCTGACCAAATCTTGTCACCACTAAGCCACCCAGGACCCACAGAGCAGCCGGTCCCGTTTGCATTGGGGCATCCCAGCCCCCAAAATCTGGGAAGATTCCCTGGGGACAGCTGTGCCTTCGGTTCAGTGTCTTGCCATCCAGGCATCAGCTATTCATGACGGAGGGAGCGGAGGGGCCGGGACGGCCAGGATAGGGGTTCTGCTGTGGCTGCCTGTTCTGTTCTTTCCACCGGAAGGACCCAGAAGACACCATCTGACCCTGGCGTTGGCCCTCCCCTGCACGAGCAAGGCCAGCCCCTCAGCACAGACTGTCCCAGCCACTGCCCTGACTCCTGCAGGGATTTGGTTTAAGGCGCTAAGCCCAAGAACCAGCACCACCCCTCGTGAGGTGGGCACCTGGAGCAGTGCCCTGGGAGCCCCTGTCTCCTGCCTGCATGGCACAAAGCCCGAGGAAGACCCAGCACACCCCTGGGGTACTGCCGGGACCAGTGAGCGCTGTGCTCGCCTGCTCAGCAGCAGCCACTCGTGTCACACCCACCTAGGTGGCTACCTGTCCAGGCCCACGATCCCCAGTGGATTCCTGAAGTGTGGGAACACGCCCTCCAGGCCGTTCTGCGTCCACCCCAAGCCTGTGGTATCTGCTCCCACCATGGTGGCTGGTGATGCCGTAAGTATTAGATCTGCCACACGTGCCAGGTCAGCCATCTCCACCTGCTTACTCTTGGAGCTCCCTTCCACTGTGACCCAGGACTAAAGAGCTCCTGTTGGTTCCACGTGGTTCACACCCCCCTGTGTTTACTCTATTAGAACTAGACCCGTGTGGTTTCTGTTTCTTTATTTCCAAGATTTGTTTATTTGAGAAGCAGGATTACAGAGAGATTTGGGAAAAGAGGGAGGCCTTCCCTCTGCCCATTCGCTCTCCCAAACGGCTGCAACAGCCAGGCCAGGGTCAGGCAGAAGCCAGAAGCCTGGAGCCTGCCCAGGTCTCCCACATGGGTGCAGGGGCCCGAGCCCTTGAGCCGTCACTGCCGCCTCCCAGGTACAGTGACAGGGGGCGGAACAGGAGGCAGAGCGACGAGGGCTCACACCTGTGCTCACGTAGGATCCCGGCATCACGGTCTTAACTCCCTGCGCCACAATGCCAGCCTCCAGGGGTTAACAAGTGTACCCTCAGCTGTCAGGTGGGGCCAGGCCTCCAGGGATATCTGTGTTTATGATCGTGAGAAAACAGAAGGGACCTCTTGACCCGATCACAGACTTGTGGGCTCCATGAATCTCAGGGGTCCCCAGGATTCCTGGACCATCCTGGGACACACTGATGTAAATGAATGTGGTACAGGTGTGCAGAAACCACACGGGAGGCTCCAGAACGTTCCGGGAGGAGGGGGGAAGTGACCTGGGGCCGCAGCTCCCCACCCGGGAAGGAGACGGCCCCATTTGGCTGTGCCGTCGGTGCTGGTCAGTATCTGCATTTCTTATCACTATCTGTTCATTGCACTCGATCCCAGCACAACTCGGGCAGAGAGCAGATCTGTTCTCCCTGGCACCCAAACCACTGGCACCACACTGCTGTTGAAAGACCCTGGAGGGAATCAGTAGGTGAGCAAACATCCAGCTCCCACTTCCGACCCAACACCTGGCCCAGCACTTTCCGCAAAGTAGATGTTCAGGAAATACGAGCCGAGAACATTCCACTTGGGTCTGTCATGTGCTTCCTACCAGGCGTGTACCCCAGATGCCTGGGAGGAAGGACAGGGCTGAGGCCAGCAGATGCGGCAGTCCACTTGTGATGTAACTCAGGTCCCATGAGACCCCTCAACTCAGCCAGCTGCTCCACCCACCTGTGTCGCGAGGCCAGGGCAAGGCAGGGCAGAGACCGGGGATGTCCTGCTCCTCCCAACACACACACACCTAGAATCACCGCTCCCCTTCCCTGCGAACACTGGAAACGGAGACTGCAGGGCAGACATGAAGTCCTGATGCCCGACCCGGCCAGCTCCTGGGCTGGGCTGGCAGGTGCCAGTGGCGCTGGGGTTAGAGGCCCCGGCACAGGCTGGGTGGGAAGCCTGCATGGACATTCTACTCGCTGTGAGCTGCATGACCTCAGGCAGGCATGCAGCCTGCCAACACTGTACACGCTGGCGAACCAGGACACTCACTGGCACGACCCCCCTGGGCTGCAAAGCCAGAACTGTCCCCAGACTACACTACGGCCCTCACACGAGCTCCCTCAGGTGAGCAGGCCTGGGACCCAGCCTGTCTGGCTTGGCCCCTCCCTGCTATGTTGGGAAGGAAAGCTGCAGGGGGCCACAGGGCCGGGCCCCCACCACGAATCAGGACACTAGGGACAAAAATCTGTCCACTGGCAGGCCTGACCAGGGCCTGGCGGTCCAGGGGCAGTGGGGAGCCTGGCACAGGACAGATCACATCCCGGCTGGAGCCCCAGTGACTTCTGTGCTTTGGGGGGGAACCGCTCCAGGGGTCTGGCCTCCCCAGCCAGGGGCTCCTCTCCGCATCCCAGCCACAGAACCAGGAACTGATGGTGCCCCTCCAGGCTTGGCCACAGGCTCAGCAGTGACACACAGTGCAGGTGCAACAGGGCCCCTCTTGGCCCATCTGCCCATCTGCCCGAACTCACCTGCGACACTGTATCTCAGCTGGATCCCTGCAGGCTCCCCAGGGAGCAGCCTCCATCCCCCACCACAGGGCTTCCTTGCCCACTCATGTTCTGACTGCTGGCAGCAGGTCACCCCAAAGCACAAGGAGAGAGTCAGGGCAGTGAGGGTCAAGGCTGCTGGCGGTTGCAGGCAGGACGTGGAGACCAGGGAGGCACAGGCCAACCCAGGGCTTCTGTGGCAAAGGGACTTGGCAGAGGTTATCTTGAGAAGGGGGCGGTCCCATGTGCCAGACCAATCACCAGGCCCTTGCAAGAGGGAGGTGGAACATGAACCAGCCGAGTGTCCATGGCAGCAGAGGCCACTGCTGGCAGGTGGGAAGGAGCCCGGGGCCTGGACGTGTGGCAGAACTGGGCTTCAAGGACCCCGGCTGGCTTCTTGGCAGAAGAACTCATCCAAGCTGTATCTCTCAGAGGGACAGGCCTTGCCCCTCAGTCCCTCTGTTCCTTCTTGGGCTGCTAAAGTGCTCCCTAGTGGCACGACCTTGGCTTTGGCCCCCAAGGAGTCAGACCATGGGGAGAGGCAATCATTTCGGGACTCCACTGAGAGCTGGTGCCTGAGTGGGAGAGGAGGCGGCCCCGGAGCAGACAGGGGTTAGGAAGGGGGGCTGGCAGAGGGAGGTGTGTGCACCCCAGTGTTCACACTGTGCCCCATCTTGTCCTGAACCCCTAGCTCCCACCACGCTGCCGCTTCCCTTCCCTGGTGCAGGTACATCCTTGCTGATCAACCCCAGGGTCCTTCCACACCTAGGTCTGGATGGAAGAAGAGGATTTCCCAAAGTGGGTTGACCCAGATCCCGGCCCTCATGGACTGGACTGACCTGTAACCTGCTCTTCCCACTGCCCCCGCCTCGGGCTGGGCTGCTGAGTTGCCCTCCAGCCCCCAGACTGCCAGTCCAGCCCCCAGCACTTGGAGCTGCTCTGGGTGGGTGTTGGGGTTCATGAGGATCCTCATTCCACCTGACCTGCACCCTTACAGCAGCGACAGGGCCAATGCTTGTATACCCAGACTGCCTGGAAGAGGCAGCAAGAGGACATCCTTAGGAAAAACCACGGCAAACCTGCCAACACCGGATAGGGGCAGGGGAGACTCCAGTCTGTGCTGAAGCCCCGGCCTGTGGGACTTGTCATGGCCGTCCCAGGGCACACCCCAGGGAAATGAGTGCCAGTGGTGGAGGGTGATGGGGCATGCACCCAGGGCTCTGCAGCACACAGCTGCGCAGCTGGGCGGGCACAGCAGTGAGGCCTGCAATCACCCGACCTTCACATCCCAGCCCTGGGCAACAGGCCGGACCACCCCCTCACCTGGGAGACACTGCTCTCATCAGGGGCCCTGGTCACGGCCGAGACCCCGTGCCTGGGACCTCGCGTTTCTTCCTGCTGGGTGTGAGCACAGTCAGGTCTCATCCTGTCTCCCCACAGGTCACAGCGAGCAGCCCGTCTCCATCCTGATGGCTTGTGAGCATCAGACATGGCAGGAAAGCAGTCCCCAGCCCAAGGCCGCGATGGACACGGAGGCCACACACCACACAGCCACAGGTCAGAGGGGCTCGGCTTTTATTGTGTTAAATACCAACAAGAGGACAGCGTAACTGACGTGTGCCCTCAGCACTCCTCGCATGACCAAGTGAGCATGGTAGGCTCCAGCCTGCGAGGGCACAGCCCAACTCCCACCCCGGGCGGTGTGGGTTCACTTTGGCTTGGGGTGGCAGGCCTCATGACAGCCCGCGCTGCCGACACCCAAGGTGCCGCTGGCGGGGAACAAGACAGCACAGAAGGGACAGGCCCATGTCTATAAAAAGATTCATGTAAGAAACCAAATAATATTGGGAATAATACTTTGAGCAGTAACTTCTGTAAGAAGCAGAATTACACCACGTGTCAGCCGCACGCACCCGAGCTACACAAGAAACGTCCCTTGCTGTCGCTGGAGCTGGTGTGGGACAGTCACCCACGTCCTGGAAGCAACGCCTGAGCAATACGACCCCCTACAAAAGGGCTGTGTCCAGGGCCCCGGGGCCTTGGCAGGCAGCAGCAGGGCCGAAGGGAACTGCTTGGAAAATGGCCCCGCACACGCCCGCTCTGAGCTGCAAATAAATACACACACACACTCACACACACACACCAGAGACCACTCCCCAAAACCTCCTTTTGCTCAGGCCAGATTCCCTGCCAGCTGCTGCTGCAGGTGTCAGCTTTGCAAGAGAGTGGCGCTGCCTGTGAAAGTGAGTGCTCAGGACACACGGCCCCCTTGGCAGCAGTGTCAGGGTTCACAGGCACCGGATGTGACGGCCACGGATGTGACGGCCACGCCTCTGTGGGATCCTCATGCCGCCAGAATCCCTTGGATCTCGCGCCCACGAGCTCCAGCTGGGTGACTGTGGCTTGCATGTCCTGCCTTGGTGGGTGCTGGTCCCAGGGGTGCTCAGATGCCACCTCCACCGCAGGGCTGTGCCAAGGGAGCTCTGGCACCTTCTTCCACCCAAGCATCCACTAGGCTGCCAAACGGCATGGAAAGTTCCACAGAGAGCATGGCTCTAGCAGGCTCACTCCGCACCCCTCGAATGGCCCAAGTTTAGCGTCTGCGTGGTTTCTAAACACATCTTGTGGTCCCAGGACTGCATACGGTGTGTGGACCATGCCTGGTGGAGAGCACACACAGCAAACTCATCCAGTGGGAGGGAGGACCGGGGTAGCCTGCTGCTGGCCAGACTCCAGACACTAGCCCTCCTGTAGCTCTCTGCCGACCAGACGCACAGGAGGACAGCCTAGCTCTTAAAGTAGCCACTGGTGGCCAATGTTGAGGTTGCTCCCTCTGGCATTAACAGTACAAAAAAAAAAAATCTTTCCAATTAGAGACCAAATTCTTTGAGAAAACATCCACTGAGCCAGAGGACAGAGTCAGGCTTGTCGAACGCAGGCAGCGGCCTGTCTCAAATGCATCCCAAGTCAAGTTTGCACAGCAGGGCAAGGGGCCAAAGAGAGGCGTGCACGCTGCCACTGGCAAGAGGTCACAGGGGCTCCTACCAGACAGGTCACAGGGCAGGCCGTGCTGCAGCAGAAGGAAGAACTGGGAGAGACCATTCTCAAAGGACTGTCGCTCCTCTCCCCAGTCAGGCTGACAGCCTGGACAGAGCAGTTCCAAACTGACTGTGCTGTGTAAGTCCTGGCATGCCCCAGGGGAGGGCCTGGGGCATGCTGAGTCGGATCCGGTCAAGGTCACCATGGATAGGGCTGTCCTGGAGGCAGGCTGGGCTGGGCTGAGGTCCCCGCTGCAGTCAGCATGGGGTCAGCTGGTCTGCCTGGGTAGTGCCAGGCACCCGTAGAGCCGAAGGTGGAGTCCTTGGCATTCTCGTATGGAGGGGCAGTCAGGGCACTTGGCGCGACAGAGATGCCACAATGCTGTGAAAGAGAAGGTTCCAGCCACAGAGACGGGGGTTTGCACGCTCTGAGCTGAACCAACTCCCCACCATGAGAGCTGCATAAAGCCACAGCTATGTGGGCCATGGTCGCCCTCACGGCGTCTTCCACGCAAACGCTTCGTCGGCGAGCACCTGCGCCAGGCGGGTGTTGAAGGGCCCATAGAAGTCCCGCAGGATCCTCTGGGTAACTGGCCACATGGGCCCCAGGCTGCGGTCCTCGGGCCGCCGCACGTTGGATGCAGGGCTCTTGGTCAGCAAGGCCTCTTGCTTCTCGCTCAAGGGCCCTGGAGAGAGAGGAGAGCCAGGTGAGGAAGGAAGGCAGGCAGGGGGACAGGGACCACGGCCAGCTTCCTGTAGGGGCTGCCTTTTGGAGCGCTGGAGGATTGCAGGCCCTTGGCCACTACCGAGGAGGTGGAAACAGCACCACCAATAAGCAAGGCCCCTAAAGGGAGGCACTTCCCATGGCTACCAGCCTGTGCTGGACAACGGTGCCCACCCCAGGGTCCAGCAGGCCAGGGGTTCAGCCATGCTGTCGTTCCGGCCCAGTCCTTCCTGCTTCCGGCGCTGCTGCCAGGGCCTATGACTGGACACTTTTACACTTTGGCTGTACTGTGGCCTCAGGGATGTGGGCAGGGAGGAGGCCACCTGCGTCCACCCAGAGACCGCTCGAGCTGCAGCCAGCCAGCTGGACCCCTCTCTGGCATTTCCTGGGTGCCCTGTTCACATGGGCAGTACCCTCACCAGCACACAAGCCTTGGCCACTACTGCCAAGGTGGGCAGTGGGGTTGTGACAGCCAGGTACGCCCAGGGACTCAGGCACCTCAGGGTGAAGGCAGGCTCCCCTAGGTCAGAGGCCCAGCAGTTGTGGCCAGCCCCTCCCCTCCCCTCCCCCAATCCCTTATAAGACTCTGTTCCCAGTGTGCTCAGCTGCTGGGACACCAAGTCGCCAGCAGGTCCCACTGTAGCAGTACCACCTGCCACTCACCCAGGGGGTGGCACTGTAGTTTCTCCCCCGGACAGTGAACTCCTGCCTGCCCAGAGAATCCATAGCCCGTGCAGTAACTGCCTCCCTGGGGTGTCCCTGGGCCAGTCTGCTCATTGAGTCCAGGCATGACCCAGAGCGTGCCCCGAAGAGCACATCCCTGGAACTCTCGCTGAACCCCTCGGCAGGAAGTAGGATGCATACCTAGGTTCAGAAACCGGAAAACCTTGTGCATGGTGTACTTGACATTGGACGCGTGGTCTTCCAGGCGCAGGATGAGGAATTGGTCCTTACTGAACACAGTGAGCCAGTCCAGCAGATACACGGCATACAGGCCGACCTGGAGCCTCACCTAGCACAGAAGCACAGGGCTCAGGAGTCATTGCCCAACACCGGAGGGCGCCTCCTGCCACAGAGAGCCACCCCCTCCACCATCACCCCCTCCACCATCACCCCCACTTACACACTTAAAAAGAAATAGATCCAAATTAGCTTAGTGTTGATTAGCATTTAGGAGGGGTGGGGAAGGGGGCTAGAGGGATCACGCATGGTGGGCACCAAAATACAGCCAGAAAGGAGGCAGGACACTCTAGGGCATTTCCCATAGTGTTCAAGCACACAGGTCCTGGCCACCCCCAAGGGAGACTGGTGCATCCCAGCTCTCAGCCTCAACTTCCCTTTTCTTCCCCTCCTCTTCCTCTTCCCTCCCCTCCCCTCCCCCTCTCCTTCCCTCCTCTCCCCTCTCCTCCCCTCCTCTCCCCTCCCCTTCCCTCCCTCCCTCCTTCCCCCTCTCTCTCATAATCTTTGAACAAAGAAGCAGTAAGCTCTAGTTCCACAGTGAAGTAGAGTAACTGTGATACTAATAAGGTGTTTTAATCTGCATAAAGAACTGGAGGCCAGGAGCTAGGAGGCTCCCAACAGAAACAGAGGAAGTGGCCCCACTGGGAATCCTTGTGCAGGGGGAACCCGGGAAAGGCCTTGGGGCTTCCCAAACCTGAGGCCGCAGCACCCCCTGCCAGGCCTGCTCAGTGAAGTAAGGCCCCACCTGCAGGGAGGAGCTGAGGACCTGGGAGGGGAGGACAATACACAGTGGGGGTGGGGCGGGGTTTGGGCTGGGGATGCTGGGGCCATGTGTGTCCTATGCAGCCCACCCATCATCACCTCCACCAACATGGCTCCAGGGAAGGGGCTTCCCAGCCCAGACAGGAAGAGGCATCTCTACAAGAGGGGAGGCGGGATCCCCCTGCACCCTGCCTACCCCTGCCCCTCAGCGTGACCTACCCAGGGACCGCCCACAGCCACACAGGCCCCACTAAGCCACATCCCTCCTGTGCCCATACCTGCCCAGGACTCCCCCTTTAAGCATTTGCTAAACTCCTGTGTCATCCTGCATGTTTCCTGCTAGTTTGCAATGTGTGCTTTTGGAGCCAGCCAGGGAAAATGGGTTCTAACGCCACAGGAGCTGCCTGTCACAGAGCTGCCCTCTGCGAGCCATGGCACCCCCATCTGTAAAATGGGGGTGAGCCAAAATGGTTTGAGTAAGTGCCTGGGGTGGTTCCCTCCTATCTCTCACTGGCAAGAGTTTCCAGAATCTTCATCAGAATCTTCAAGCACACACGAGGGGGAGACACCTCGAGGACACTCATGACTTTGAAGTCCACGGCTGGAGTACAGGAGGGGAGGAGCACGCCCTCGCTCTCCCAGAGGAAGTAGCTGTGGACATCCTGCCTCCCTAGGGGGCTGCACACCCAGCTGGCTCTGCCCAGTGGTATCAGCAATGCCAGGGGGAGGGACTGGGGCCCATGCCACACAAGGGGTGCCATCCCTGTGTGTGTTTATGCCACTTTCACGTAAAACAGTACAATTGAAAGCAACAGCAAAAATGGCCCCATCACACAGAGTTCCATTCTGTCCTGCCTGCCCCTGCCCTCTTGGACCCAGAACGGCTTAAGCTGCTCCTAGGGGTCCACCTGATACCAAAGTTACACCTGTCCCTCTCTTCTGGGGTCTTCTTCAGGATCCTGCTTGGGAGAGACTCCATGGCCAACAGGTCTGGGAAGGGCTCAGCCCCCCAAAACCCAACAGACCCTGGTGGCCAGGTACCTTGCCCCTCACGGTGCCCATCTGCCAAGGAGGGTCCACGCATGGGGTAGGGTGAGCACAGACAGCATGGGCACATGGGCTTCTCTCCACTCACGCCCACTCAGCATCTGACTTAGAGCCCCAGGCCTGCCAACCAAGTCTACCATTCTCAAGTACACTCTCAGGGCGCCGTGCCAGCTGGGCAGCCCAGGGCTGTGGGTCCAAAGCAACAGGTGTGTTGTAGGGGTCTCACTGAATGGCCAGGGAGGAGAGAGTGGTGATGGGGCGAGAGCAGGGAGCCAGCGCAAGGGCCCAGCATCTCCGGCTCCTCTATCTGCCTCTGCATCAGGCACCACTCAAAGGCTCGGCAGCCAGCATCTGCACACTGAAGCACTCCACTGAGTCCCCTCACTAACATCTACACTGCCACTGCACGACAACCCACTGTGTGCAGGGGCCGGCCGGGGTACGCACAGGCATGGCGTTGTTGAGGGTGTTGTTGTAGACGCAGGCGCGTAGGGAGTAGTCCAGCATACAATCCTCAAACAGCTTTAGCGCCTCTGTCACTTTCTCGTGGAAGTCATCGGCAGATTTATTCGAACTCGCAAAGTAGAGATAGTCCGAGTACAACCTGTGAATCAAAAAATGATTTTACCACCTGCAGATGCGCCATCATGCCACTGGGGTGATGAAGAAAATCCACATGCAATCACGCTACACGGTCCTGCTCATTAAAACACACCTCTCTCTTTCTTGCTTTACCGTTGAGCCCGTCCTGTCCTCCCCTCACTCCCACCCTTCCTTCTCACACCATCCATGCTCTGCCAAACTCAGACATGTCCACTCTGGCCAAAGAAAACCATCACCGGCGGGATTCTCATTCTCGGCATCTCAGACCCAGGCTGTTCGCACAGCTTTGAGACACCCCCCGGTTACAGAACTTGTACACCAAGCAGAGGGGGCACACTTCCCACCGTTCTCTGTGGAGGGAACAAGCACATGTGCCTCGCAGGAAGTTCCTGGCCATCACCCCCTGAACACTCCTGACATTTAAAAAACATCATTCAAGCCCTCGTTCTAGATTGGCCAGAGCTTATTTACACAGAACGTAAAACACCCTCGCGTATGCGTGAGCACCTGCAGAGGTGTGTGTGCCCCACACATCAACCTTCCTGTTTGCTCATGCAGGAAATGTTCAGGCAGACGCACCCCAACCACAGGTAACAAGATCTGACCCACATTCCTGACTAAATCCCACTTTCAATTTCCGCATCCCCTTCGCCTCACCCCACTTTGGCAAGAATTCCGCTGCTGGGTAACATGGAGCTCTGGACCATGCCCGCACCGGCCCCAGCTGACCAGCAAAGAGTCGTTCAGGGCAGGTGCCATGTTTTCAGACTGAACTTAGAAAAGGGCCAGTTTCCCAAAACACACAGACTCCGGCACCAACAGAGCAGGCCCCACCTGGCTGAGCAGGCTGGACAGAGAGGCCCCCCTACTTGATCCCCACTCGAGCGGTTACTCCAAAGGGTGGCCTTTTCTCCCAGTATCGCCCCTAACCCTCAACACTCCTCCAGCCGCAAAGACCCCTCCTCTGGTTCACAAATTAGTTGAATACCAGCCTAACTGAATGATTGTGCTCCCACACTCCGCCCCCCCCAATTCACCTTCCACCTTTCATACCTTATCACCCACCCCCGCCCCCACCCTAAGACTACAACGTCTGCTCATCACAGATCCTGCTCAACTGATTCAGCCAAAACCCTTTGTTTTATTTATTTATTTTATGTTTTCAGAGGCAGAGCTGCAGACAAAGAGGGAGTGAAGGGAATGTTGTATCCTTTGGCTCATTCCTCAAATGGCCACAACAGCCAGTTGAAGCCAGGAGCCATGGTGGCATAACTGGATCAGAAAATGGAGCGTCTAGGATTTGAACTGGGGTACCCACAAAGGACACCGGTATGTCAGGTCATGGGCTTTAAGGATCCATTGTGGCCCCACTGCCTGAAGCCATCCTGAAGCAAATGGGGGAGTGGAAGGTCAGAGGGCTTCTCACTGCACTTTGTCGGCAAACAGCTGGGCAGGACTTTGGGCCACCACACCCTGTCCACACTCTGCCTGTGACAACAATGTCCACATCCCCAGCATGCCCAAGCCCTAACTCCTAGTGCCTGTGAAGGTGAGCTTGTGTGGGGATAGAGTCTTTGGCAGATGCAGTCAGGTGCTGGCTTTGGCTGGGGAACCCTGGAGCCATGGGCCGGAGAGGAGAGGACCCAGACACGGCGCATACGCCAGGAGCAGAGAGAGGCAAAGTCGGAGCGGTGCACCTGTGACCAGGAGGCGGGAGTCAGGAGTGAGAGGCACAGAGCAGCCCCTGCCACAGAGCCCCCAGGGGGACCTGACCCTGCAAACAGACCTCCCAGGTTCAGGTTCTTGTCTCCAGAGAACAAGTGTCCACTCTGTTCTGAGTCACGGAGTGGATGGTCACCCTTGACAATAGCCCCAGGAAAGCAAAGCCGAGCCTACAGCAGGATTCCAGGGCAGGCGGAACTTGTGTTGGCATCTGTCCACCGCCCCGAGACCCAGGAGCAGGGGGCTATGACCAGGGGGATGTGGACCCCACCTCAGTTCAAGCTCTGAATACAAACTGGATAAAAAGGGACAGTACAGGCAGGAAAGGCACCCCCGCTGCCCTGTCCCTAACCCCTGCCCACTCCCCTCTCCCTCCCACCGTATCCTTGATTGCTTTCCTGGGAGCATCAGTCGAGAGAACCCAATCATTCCACGGTTAACGTGGCTCCGGAAAGCCAGAGCAACTTCAGGACCTTGGAGGAAAGAAGGCCGCTCTGCCAAAACTAGGCAGGATGGCACAGCTCAGCCAGTCAAAGCAGGTACCCACGCCCAGCATGCTGAAGTGTAAAGAGACAAAGCCTGACGCTGGTGTTTCCGTTTCCCAAAGAAGCAGGCAGGAGGCTCAGAAACAAAGACCGGCTTGCCACCAGGCCAAGTTGCCCCAGAGAGGGTGTGTCCCAGAACACAAACAGCCAGCCCCAGGCCATGATGGAGGTCTGGAGACCTGACACTCCACTCTGGTGCCCCAATCTTCGGCCTGCCCAGCCCCCTCCTGCGTAACCACCTCCCTGCCTTCCTCACAAACCATCCTGAGCAGATGGGTGCTACATTTGGCCAGGCCCGTTTCCAATGGCAATTCCAAATATAAGACCCAAAGTGTTGCAGGCCTTCTGTGCTGTGGTTATTTTAGAAGGTGGGTGGTGGAGCCTGTGCCACTGGGCCCGAGAGCATGGCAGACACTGCTTGGCCTCTGCCCTGTGGCAGGCAGGGGTCCTGGGACCATGGGGTCCAGAGGGAGTAGAAGTGTGTTGGTGACTCTGTATGTGGACCTTTGCAAGTGGCCCATGTCTCTCCCCTGGGGGACAGCAGAGTGGCTAGCGGCGAGCTTCAAGGTCCCACAGACACCATTCTAGTGGTTATCCCAAGGCCACTGTTGAGTTTATCCTGCAACATCTCGGGAGCATAAGTAGAGGCACAGACAAATCGAGAAGTTGAAGTCACTTCTGTTCAGAACCATTAAGACAGAGACCCAGAGCGGATGATGTCAGGGAATATAGTAGCCAATGAGTGCTCAGGATCAACAGGAGAGTTTGTCAGGAAAGGCCAGTGCATTCATGGATACCATCCCAAGCAACCACAAAAATCATAGCAACAACCGATCTATACTCCGTGTCCAGCATCAAACCAGGACATTCCCACTTGCTGCCATGTGGACAAGCTAAGGCTCTGTGGTGTTGCCAAGGCTCCTCAGACAGCTCAGTGCCTGGATGGCGATCGGCTCATGACCAGCCTTCCCCGTGCCTGGAGATTGACATTTAACCTGGATTTCTAGGACAGGGGCCCATGACTTCTCAGCTGTCGCCATCTCCCTCAACACAATCCCAGAGCAGAAATTCCTGGCCTCTTTGGCTACAGGGATCCTATCCCTCTTCCCCTTTTCCTTTGTTCTCCTCCCGCGGCGGGAAAATGGACTCCTTGCCTGTGCCTTCCTATGGAAACTTGGAAGTGATTTGATTTCCCAGGCCCCTTACTTTTGCCAATTATAGAAATCAAGGCTAAATGTGAATCTCCAGCTGGAAAGAAAAGTGGCATCTTTTCCCACCTTTCCAAGCCAATTTGCAGAGGGAAAAGAATGATGTGGTCCGAGCCAACTTGGCAGTGAGCAGCCCAGGGAATCTCCCGCACGCAGGAGCGCAAGGTCACGGACGACTGGAGTGGGCTCAGAGCCCGGGATGCAGTCAGACTAATGGGAAGTTGGGCTCCTGAGTGTTTGCTTCTTCGAGAGAGACATAAACATATAATATTTATCACCCTCTCTGCTTGGGGTGGGGAAGGAGCCAGCTGTTTCAGATGGGCCATGAGTCATGGGATTTAAAAAAGAAGAAATCCCTATTGTTGCATATTTTATAAACGTTGAGGAAGCTGTCAGGAACTCACCGCCAAGAGCAGGTGCTCCCTCTGCTGCCCAAGTGGGCAGCACGCAGCTGAACGATGCCAGGGTGGGGTCCCATGTCCAGGTGGGACTGGAGCAAGCCGGTGCACGAGGTGGCTGGCTTCAAGGGGTGGTCTCTACATCCCATGGCTCGGCATTGCCACCCATAAGCTCCCCTGCCAAGCAGCCCCCACCCTGGGCCTTGTGACTCACAGGATGTGGTGATAGTGACATAACGTCACCCATGTGATGAGACTCAGCAGATAATGATATCCAATCACCCTTGTTCCTTGGGTGGGGCTGTGGGCATCTGGAAAGACCCTGAGACACGGACCAAGGACAGCCAAGAGTCCACAAAGACAGGGGTCCTCTTTCCAGCTGTCCTCGGGGGCGGGAAGGAGTGGGGCAAGGGCATTGGGCATGGCCTGGAGGTTTGGATGAAACCCTGGCCCTGGTCTACATTGACCGTGGCTAGCAGAGACCCTATAACAAAGAATCTTACAGAGCCGTGCCCAAGTCCTGGAAGTACGGGACTGACAGGTGCTGTCTGAAGCCGCTGACTTGGGGATAACTTGCTACACAGTAGCAAATAACACGCACAGCAAGGCTGCAGTGTGCACTCCGACAGGCACTGTCACCCCGTGCCCCACCTCCGCCAGCACAGGTAGTGCCCACTTCTCTGACTAGGCACCAGCTCCACTGGACTGAACTGGGGCACCTTTGCCATCCACCACTGTGCATAAGCCAGGGAGCCAGCCAGCAACATCTTGCAAGTGGCAGGGCTGATAAAGGCTTGAATTCTGCTGATGACCAATGAGGTGAGGAACCCACAACGCAAGAAAGTGGCAGCGCCGATGCTCTGCTGTGGGCCATGTCTGGGGTGGGTTTTGCAGCTGGCCTCTCCTGCCCCTGGCCAACTACCACTGCCCATCCTGTCCCCAGGCTGCCTTTGTGGTTGTCTTATCCTCAGAGGTGGAGCTGAACTGCCAGGACAGGCCACACTCAGGGAGCCTGGCCCCATTTTCCTCCTCCTTGTCAGCCCAATCCTCACCTTCCTCTCTGCTGGGGGCACTTCATCCCTTGGCCCAGTCCCCTCCTGCTTACTTGGCAAACTTATTCACCCCTTAGGACCCCGCCCAATGTCAGCTTTTCCAGCTCATCTGCCCAGCACGCCTCCTCTCAGTGGGTGCAGGACCCAAGTCTGCAGGAGTTTGACACGCCACAGCCACACCTGTGCCCACACCAGGAGCACTATGTCCCTGGAGTGGGCATGGGACTAGAAAACGGGATCAGGGCCAGGCTCACGGCTCCCCACTGCTCTGAGCAGGCTCCTCCCTCCAACCCTGAAGTTGGGGTATAGTCTCAGAATGAAGGTATCTGGGATGTAGACAGCACACTCCAGATGGAACATTCCGTCTTGGGACCTCCAGCTGGCACAGCCAGGAGGGAGAAGCAGAGCAGCTGAGAAAACACCTCTGTGGCCTGCCCTCCTGATGCCAGCGGTTTGTGTGGAGTGTCACCAAGCCAAGATAGGGGACAGGAGCCTGATTCCTAACCTCATTGGGACCGGGACCTGATTCTACAATGTCAGTGGCTGCCTTGGACCCTGATGGATGGATCCCCGAGACCGGCAGGCACACCTGCAGGGGCACCTGGGGGCTGCCAGATGCCCAGGATGTCAGGAGCCAAGATTAATCCTGCCCTCCCCAACACTTGGAGAAGCAGGATCTGCCAGGGGCGTGCGGGACCACCCCGGCCACCAGGCCAGGATGGACTTTCCCATACTCAAACAGGCAAGGAGACCACATGGTCACATGGCTGCATCACAGGAGTGCGCTCTCCTCTTCCTCCTCCTTCTTCCTCCCTCCCTCGCTGAGTTCACACTACACATCCTCATTTGCACAGAAAAGTGTACAACATAGAGAACAGAGAGCATAAAATATAGAAGTCTGGAGGAAGATACGCCAAACACAAGTGGCACGCCTTTGCATGGGAGACAACAGTGTTTTCACAAACAGCTTTTCTTCAGAGTTTTCCAACGTTTAAACACAACAAACAAGGCGTATTCTGACTGGAAGGCTGCAGGGCCAGGAGGGAGAGCTGTGGCGGAGGGCCTGGGGCTGTGGGAATTTGCTCTCCCACAGTTTTGGAGGCCAGTCCTCTGCCACCAGGGTCAGAGGGCTGGCGCCTTGCGGGGACTCAGAGTCGGCTGACGCCTCTCCCCGAGCTCCCGGCGCTGCCAGCGGTCCGGAGCACGGCTCGGCTTGTGGCTACTTCACTGCAGTCTCTGTGCACAGCTTGCTCTTGGGCCCTCAGGGTGGACTAGGGTCGACCTTCACCCGGGATGGCCTCGCTGCAACTTGACAGCATCTGAGAAACCTTACTTCCTAACCAGGTCTCAGCGACACACAGGAGGCTAGAACTCAAGCCTATCTTTTGGGGTGGCAGAATTTAACCCCAACGAGATACCACTTCAAGAAGCTAACAGGCAGGTCTGTGCCCTGCCTCTGAGAATCTGATGGCCCCACCCACTTCAGGGTAGGGCTTTGTCTGCGCGGCTCTGTAGGTGCTCCCTGTAAAGACCTGGGTACAAAAAACAGAGCTGGCCTGGTCTGGCCATCTCAGGGGAGACCTTGCTGTCCCCAAAGGGCCATCTCAGGAGAGACCTTGCTGTCCCCAAAGGGCTGGAAGGCTCTCTCCTCTCTCTGATGGAGCGGTCATTTGGAGGAAGAATGTGGCAGCTCTGAGGTCCTGTGATCTACATGGGCACCATCAAAGATGGAAACAGGGCTCAATGTACCAGCCAGGGGGTCACGATGGCTCTGTCTCACCTGGGCCAGGCAGCCCTGGCGGGAAACGCAGAGCCATCATGTCCATTGTGGTTCTTCCTCTTGGTCTCTGCAGGAAAGCTGGAAATGCTGCTGTCAGGGCAGACCAACATAGAAGCTTCCCACCAGTCGGGAGACCCAGAGCTCCAAGGGCCAAGTCCCGTGGGTCAGACAGCACTCCTGATTCACAGAGTGCATCCCGAGCCGGGCCAGGACACAAGGAACCACCCCGGGTCCCAGGGCAACCCCAGTGGAGGCTACAAGGCGCCCAGACCAGGCTCAGAGTAGCTAAGCCAACAATCTGTGATTTGTTTAAACACAGCGGAGATTGTCCCAAGAGTAACATTTACACAAGACAGAGCGGCCCCACTGCAACTGCAAGCCTGTTTGTTTATTTTTTTTTTCAAGCAAGGCAAAATCTTGTTTGTGACAAGAAGGAACACAGCTCCTCAAAAGCGCCTTCCCTTTGTGCTCCACATACAGAGCTATGCACTCACCTCTCCACGGGGTCCCTCAGCATGACAATGAGCTTGGCGTTTGGCTGGAAAGCATGGATGAAGTCCTGCGTCAGGAACGGAGGCTCGCCAGCCGTGCTGTTGTCATAGAAGAAACTCCAGGCATTGTTGTCCCACATGGTGGAGGCGCTGGCCTCCCCTGGGAATAGAAGGCAGGAGCTGTGTGTGACTCAGGGTGGGCTCATAACAGCTGGTGCCCGCACCTGCCTCCCAGCCGCTGTGTCTGAATCAGCCCCAGTCCGCAGGTGGTCAGCCCATCGCTGGCTGGGGGACTCCAGGCATGTCCCCTCACCCCACCCAGCAGAGTGATCCCAGCCTGTCTGGAAATCCAGGCAAACAGCTGACTATGAGTATCCTAGCCCCTCTCCAGCGTGGGTAAAAATGAAACCTTTCTTGACTAGCACCTAAGGTTCTCTGTATTTAGCTCTGCTCAAGATGCTTGGCTCAATGCACGGCTTCTTTAACATGCATCTGAGATAAAATACAAGTCCAGCCGAGCTTCTCTCATTAGGGTATCGGATGCAAAGTGCATCAGTGTGGCCTTGCAACAGGGTCCGGCATGTCACACACCTAGGATCCAGAGAGGAGACTGTGCCAACAATTCTCAGGACCTCGGCCTCAGGGCCTCCTGCCCCATGTCCAACCCTCCTCTCTCATTGCACCGAACAAGGCAGGACCACCCTCAGGGCTGGTCCCAGACCCTTCTGCTCCTTGTGGTCCATGGGATTCAAGGATGGAAATGCAAAGCCTGCATTCCACGTCAGTGGTGAGGCCACAACGGGCATTTCTACACACAGACTCTCTCAGTCACTGACCCAATTCCCTGATTTTTTTTAAGGACAGTCACCAGAGACTTAGAAAGAAAAGCAAATTGGAGCCAGTGTTGTGGCACACATCACTGGCAAAGCTGGCATCCCAATACGAGAATGCTGCTTGATTCAGCTCCTTGCTAATGCACCTGGGAAAGCATCAGAAGATGCCCAAGTGTGTGGGCACCTGCCACCCAGTGCAAAGCCTGCATGGCACTCCAAGCTTCTTGGCTTCAGCTTGGCTCAGCTCTGCTGTGGCAGCCATATTGGGGCGGTGAACTAGCAGATGGAAGAGCTCTCTTTCTCTTTATCTGTCTCTTCTGTTTTCTGCCCTTCAGTCTCTCAAACAAATCATAAGTCTTTTTTAAAAGGAGGAACAGGAGCTAGGGAGGCAGATCAGTCAGTTCTGGCCCGCTTCCTGACATGTTGCATAGGGCTGCGTGAATATCTCAGGAAACATCAGAACCAGGAAGGCAAGTTCCTCTGGTCCGTGACAAGCGCGTGGCAAGCATACAGAAAATGTGCTGGATGTGTAATCGCGCAGAGTTGGGCATGTCTGCTCCTGGGCATTTTATCCCTTCTCAGCAAGCCAATCAGGAACCCTTTCAAAATCCCACTCATCAGGATGAGTTAAGCATCTGAAACCGCATGGGTACAGATCGCAGCAGATCCCAGCCGCAAAGTGGTCCTGGAAGCACAGGGCGCCTGTCCAGCCACCTGTCAGGCCAGCCACGTGTCCACCATCCCTCCTCCACCCACCCAGAAAACATTCATTTGGCATTCGGTTAGCGCCCCAAAATGTGGTTGGTGCTGGGATCAAACAAGCAAAAAGGGAAGTGAGATAGACGCATCCCCGCCCCCTCGGAGAAGCTGACAGGCATCCCTGGGGTGGCTGAGAGCAGGCCGAGCATGCCTCTGCACAGGTCTGGCTGGAGGACAGCTGACACCATCCAGGACTCGGACAAGCCCAGAAACGATGAGCAGATGAGCAGACTGAGGTCAGGAATGACAGGACAGACTCGTCACAAGGCTTGGAGCCAGCTGCCGGCACAGCAGGGCTAGATGCCACCTGCTGCCTGCCGGTCACACCAGGAGGCCACCAAACCTCACCAAGTCTGCCTGACCTAAAATATCAGCACAGATTTCAGTATTTTGTTTGTTTGTATTTGTTTAAATCTAGAAACCAGTAGAGTTAGGAAATGAAACTAAGGCTTAACTTCTTCATTCAATACATTAGACCTGCTTGCTAGGCCCTGGGTGAGCATTATCTGGGCACATGAGACCTTCTCAGGGACAGATAACACAGGAGTCTCTGAGAAACAGAAATGGTTCTTTGAGTGTTAAGACCCTCAGGTTTACGGGAAACGGCTAGCAGCTGAGTGGCACCACGGGGAGAGGGAATACGACCTCGGAAACTTGATGTTGAGTTGAACCATCACGCAAGTGAATCAGGGCTTTGGCAGATTCGCCCCTTGTGACCTCAAAGGCCAGCTTTCAGTCTCACCAGGCACCTCAGTCGACAGCAACTGAACTAAGAGACTCAAAACGCAACGGGTCTAGGAAAACTCTACAGGATAAGACCACTGCCTCCAGTGTCAGATGTCAGTAACGTGTGTTGTACATGGGAGTGGATGCACACCCTGCTGTGAGCCGAGCTCGGCGAGAACAGCAGTCCAGGGGCACGAAGTCCAGGGGTTGAAGGGAAGGCTCGCTGGTTACAGCTGGCCACACCATAGCGGACATCAGCAGTATCATTGCTTGTACATGTGTGTCACACACCACGTATACTATGTCCTGGAAAATACATTTTACACGGGGGTTGAGGTGCCCTGGGAATGCCCACACTCCACACCAGGATCCCTGAGCTTGCGTCCCAGATCTCCTTCTGACTCAGCTGCCTGTGCTAACACACACCCAGGAGGCAATTGTGATGGTTCTAGGACTTGGGTCCCTGCCGAGTGCGTGGAAAATCTAGATGGCTTTCCCAGGTCCCCGCTTTGTTACAGGCATCTGCGGAATGCAGCAGCTGATAAAAGCTCTGCATGGTGTGTGTATGTGTGTGTGTGTGTCTGCCTTCCAAATAAATAACACTCTTAAAAGGATATCTATACCTACACTCTTGTGAATTTTTAAAGTGAATGAATACATATCAACCATCTCATTGTTGATGCAGGACAAATACCCCACGGTGCCTGGGGGCTGTGTCTGTTTCAGAAGCTGTCCACCTCCTCCCAACCCCCAACTCAGGGACTCCAACAGCCCCCAGGATGAAATCCATGACCAACCAGCGCAGGGAGTCTGTGGCGACCCACCGCCCCCACACACGAGTAGTCCCCGCAAACATCAAGGATGCCCACTCTAGTAGAAGCAAGGAAATGGCAATGCTTAAAACACAGCAGCATTTCAGCTCAAGTCTCCAAGGGTGAAACTGGACTAAGCGGTCTTGTCTTAAAGGATGTGGCTTTCCGTGGCGGGGGAGGGGGACTTGGGGCCGGTGTGAGCTGGCATGGATCCTGCAGGTGGAGCAGGGCCGGCCCCAGGGAGGCACTGCCCAGAGACATACCAACAATGATTTCATTCATCTTGTTCTGCTCCTTTGCAGCACTGGCCTGCAGCCCTTGATGGATCTGGTGTGCAGCCAGGTCAAAGAGATCCAGGTAATCTTCCACAGGGTAGCGGTCCCGCAGACCGTCTCGCAGGCGCACGATCCCTGTGAGAACCAAGAGGCACGAGCTGCTTACTGCACAGGGACCAGGGCTCCGAGGGCCGGTCTCCCGCAGAATAACCAGGGCGGCGGGAATGGAAGGCCCCAGGGAGCAGGGCAACGGGTGAAATGCTAAGCCACGGAGGAGGTGGGCACCTGCAGGGCAGGGTAAGGAACTGTGCCAGCTGAGGCATGCCTGCTTCACAGGTGGAAGACACTGCCACGGAGCTGGCAGCAGCCATCACGGGATGTCACACCTGCACAAGAGCCACAGACATGCCTGCCTGGAAGGCCAGTGAGTAGCCAAGTCAAAGTGCCACCTGGGATGCCCAAGGTGAAACCAACAGGAAAAGGGCAAAAGGCAGACAGCCAGGAGGGCAGCACCACACCCAAGCCTACATCTCTCAGATGTTTTAGCTTCTAACCTACTCAGTCAAACACCCTGTCCACTGCCCACACCCTGCACAGATCAGGGCTTGTTTAGTCCAAACCCACCCCTTCCCTTAAACATGAGCAGACTGCAAACATTTTCACAACAGCCTGACAATCCCGACTACTGAAGCTAAGAGAGTGGAAAGAGCAGGCGCTCCGGGTGACGTGTGGCTCCGGCTCCAGGGCCAGCTTTGTGCTTGCTGCTCTCCTGTCCGGGGGAAGCTGGTTTTCATTACGGGACAGGCCGTGGGGAGCGCATCCGTGCAGGCAGCACACCCAGACACGTCTGCCAATGTCCTGGCTTCTCAGGCGGCCACTGCTCACCACAAAAGAAGCATTCGCACTGATGTCTACCCCAGCGTGAACGTCAAAAGGGTGGAAGCGAACGCTCCCCTGGAAACGCAGACAGGAAACCTTTCAGATTCCCTCCTGGCCACCGGGGACCCTGCGTGGGCCATGGCCTCGGGGTCCGCCCCGGCTCTGGCAGACTGCAGGCCGTGGGTCACCTCCAAGTCCTAGTGACCGAATGTCCCTGGCAGGAGGAAAAAGGTCACTGAGAGGAAACAGTGACCAGGGGCCCACGGGGTGCCTGGACAGGCTGAGCTGGAGGCAGCCTGCAGCGAGGGACAGGCAGTGCTCACGGCCAACGCCACGGCAAAGGGGTGTGGAGAGCAGGGTTTTCCACAGGGGACCCAGGAGCAGACAGGGCAGCTCAGAGAAGCTCTGTCTCCGGCAGGTGTGGGACCTCCTTGACACAGGACAAGGCTGGGAGCCCAGGACTCCAGGTCAGCGGCTGTTGCTGACCAGTCCACTCCCCACCCCAGCTCCTACCGCTCTCCCTGCTGGGGTCATCTGACACGGCCACTCAGGATGAGAGGACCTGCCCCTTCACCCTGCACTCAGCTGGCTGTCAAACAACGCTGCCTGGCCGGCAGGGAACAAGGCTCGAGGCCGTGCTGGGCCCTGCCAGTGAATGGCTGCTGTGGCTGCTGCGGTTGGGAGACAATCAGTGTGTGTCCCAGTTCGGTTCCTGGAGGGGGAGAGGGGGTGGGATGGTTGGGGGTGGGGGACCAAGCAGGTACTGACGGATGGTGACAGTTGTGAGGACACTGCTTTGAAAGGGGTGAATGCAGATCTTGCAAAGCACGCTGCTCAACATGGGAGTGAGTTCTGACCGGACGAGGCCACTCCACACACTGGGCTTCTTGCACATTTGGCCTGTTTTATTTCCATTTCTTACCACATATCCAGGGGCCAGTGCTAGACTGCAGACCCCCCAGGACCAGGACTCAGGCAGCCTGCATTGGCACATGAAGGGTTAAGCCAGGGGCTGTGAGAACAGCATCCCCCATGGACATCGGTTCGAATCCCAGTTGCTCTACTTCCCATTTAGCTCCCCGCCAATGCACTTGAAAACGCTGCTGAAGGTGGTCCCAATGCTTGGGCCCTTACTACCCTCAGAAAAAAATGGGACAGAGTTCCAGGCTCCTGGCTTCAGGGTTGTGCATCTGCCCACACAAGATTTTTACTCTGCCTTTCAAATAAATAAATCTTGGGGGAAAAGTCAGGAGCCAGATAAACCCCTTTATGAAGTGCTCAGCCTAGGGACAAGTAAACCGTCCCATCTCTGCAGCTCTGCTCATCCCCTCCCCACCCCTGCCCCACCCTGGCTCCTTCACTGCCACTGGCCCTCCACACCCCACCGCCAGCCCCAGAGCAAGCGCCAAGCCTCACCAAACCGCTTCCGGGTCCACCAGTGCGGCTCCTTGATGGCAGAGAACTTGACTTCTGGGTGCAGGCGCAGGCGGTCATAGAGGTCAGTGGTGCCACACTTGGGCTGCCCAATGATGTAGAAGTGAGGCAGACAGCGCAGGCGGAAGTGCTTCCCGTCGGCGTGAGACAGGTGGCCCCAAAAGGCCTTGCGCAGGGCGTCGAAGGTGGAGCGGAAGCGCTTGGAGTAGAGCACGTAGGAGTTGGTCAGGTAGGGGTCGGTGGTGTTCCTGCCGGAGAACTCCTCGTACCAGCAGGGGCTCTTACTGTTGGGGAGGAATTTGCTGGGGATGACGGAGAACATCTACGCAGAAAAACCCCAGAGGGAGAACAGAGAGAGAACACTTAGCAAACCCATGTCGATGGCCCCATCCTGCACTACGCTGCCTCCAGGGTTCCAGCTGGATCTGTGACTGTAAACATTGAGCAAAACCTGGTAGACAGCTGCTGACTACACTGTCTGTCTCCCACGTTAAAGAAAATATAGAGATCGCCTTGGCCCGCATGAGGCTAAAAGTCTACCCACACCATCTAATTGAAGGGAACTGTTGTGAATTTAAATCGCCAATAGCAACCCAGACACTGATCCAGGCAGAAGAGAAACAAGAAAGCCGAGTCCAGCATGAAGATGCCAGCCACAGCTGCTGGGCTCGAGCACCCGCAGCCACCAGGACTGTGTGTCCAGCAGGAAGTCACAGGTGTGCTGAAAGGAGGGGCTGGTTCACCTGGCTGTGCCCCTCAGGACAGCAGGTGCACCGCTCTGATCCTCAGGGCGGCCATGTGTCCCTTCCTACATGCAAGGCCACACCTAGTCCCTCCCTCCTGTGTTCCTGGAGATGGTGGGTACATGTGGGGTCACACCTAGTCCCTCCCTTTTATGTTCCCGTGGACGGTGGCAGGCAACCCAGGGCTACTCACATGCTCCTCCTGCTTCCTGAGGTCTTCCAAGTCCGGGAGCTGCCTGGTGGTGAACTCGATCCTGGCCGCGATGCTGTTGATGATGAACCTGACGCTCTGATAGTCCCTCATGGACGACACGTTGGCCACCGCAGGCTGGTGGGCGTGCTCCTTGGCGTCTCCCGGAGTCTCACCGTCCATCCAGCCTGGTGTGCTAGGGAATCCTCCGTAACGGAACGGAGATGGGATCAGGAGCTCCTGGTGAGCCCCCGAGAGGATGTACGATGCCATCACCAAGCTCATTATGATCAGGCCGACAACGAGGCTCCATCGCTTCCCCTTCCGAAGGCGCAAAAGCCCACCCCAGCTCTCGTTCCCTTCGGTCCTCACTTCGAGCACAGCAAGCAAGTTCATCTGCTTACCGTCCACACGGAACAGGAGTTTGTTCTCCCCCTGGCACGTGGGGCACACCTGGTGATGGTGGGCGGGGCCTCCACGGCAGCCAACCCGCTGAGTGTGCGCCTCTTTGTAGTCCGGAATCAATCGTATGCAGCAGTGGATGCAGCAGCTCATGACAGTGCCCAGGCTGGGCACGGCCGGCCTGCTGAGCCCCAGGTGGGCCGCGAGGAGTGGGCAGGCACGCGCAAGAGGAGTTGTGTTGGGTAACTCAACAGAAGTCTCGGGATTGCAGAAGGTGGCAAACAAACACACACAAATGTGGAGCTGGAGAGTCCCCAGAGCCCGAGAGAGGAGGAGGCTCGTTCCTGGGGGCTTCTGAACCAGACCCAGAGGACGTGAGCTCCCCACCTACGGGGCCCCCGAGTGGGCCTCCTGACAGCCCCAAGCGTGGGAGCAATGCAGCCTGCACCTCAGGTTGTTCCCATGGCACAAAAGGAAGTGCGAGAAGCTCTAAGCGCCCGAGGGGTCAGGAGGCATCACGGTTTTCTCCCTGGTGGGTGGACCGGCAGGCCGCCCGTGGGGACGCTGCAGGAGATTCCCATTTTACATCCCAAATTCCTTGCAGCTGCTTCCTGTGCGTGGGGAGCAAACCCTTGGGGACGTCCGACTACCTAAACAAAAGGGAAAGAAGCCAGATTACAACACGGCGGTAACAACCGCGTGCCCTCTGCCCAGGAGCGAGAAAGAGAGCTCTGGTGTTGCTATCCTGATGCCAAGTGTCTGCCAAGTCTGCTCAGTCACCAACAAGTCACAGGAAACCACACAGGACAGACGGAGCGGCCAGGCACTTGAGCTTGGCTCGGGACTTGAACCTCCTGCTACCAAATGTGGCTGCCAGGAAGCAACAGCGGCAGCACAGCTAAGCACTGGCCCAGCATGCACAATCCCTCGCAGCCCCTACTTCCACCTGACTCCAGGACCCTGCACACAGCCTGATTCCTGCACTGGCCATGAGTGTGAATGCAAGAGATGAACTCAAAGACCAGTATCTGCACGTCCACAGAAAACCTGGAGAATAACAAGCAGCAGACCGGGCAGAGAAGGTATGCCTTCCCTCCCAACAGCATCTTCGCTAAGCTCTCCCTGAAAACTAACTTTGATTACAAGATTTGAAAACAAACATTAACGAATATTGAGAAGCAACAAAATGATCCTTTCAGTAGACTATCAAATTAAAAAATCTGACATTAAGTTATGAAGCAATTAAATCCCATGGACAGTATTCCCCTGAGGGGCATGAAACTCCAGACCTTGAGAGAGATTTTCATGTTCACCATTCTGGGAGATATGATTCTTAAAAACCCATTAATAGAATCCTGTGATTATAGAATGTATTGTTGCTCAAATAATGCTTCATAAAAAGAACAATGGAGGAGCAAAAAGAAGGCCATTAGCTCCTGGCAGTGGCACTTGCCCGAGATTGGCTGTGTGATCTCAAGCAAGCCACTCAGCTTCTCTGAGCTCGGCTTCCTCACCAACAGAATCGGGGTGCAAGCCCCTCACTCCAGAACAAGTTTGCACCAAGTACTGGATCCGTCAGCTCATGCAGAGTTTGTGTGATGTTCAGCAGCCCAGAAGGGTAGACGCCACCGATCACAGGAGTCCGTATTCTGATCTGAACGGTCAGGTCATGCCAAGAACCTCTGGGACAGAGTCAGAGACGGGAACCTCCTCTGCCACACTGCCCTGCCTTTCCAACTCACACACACACCTGCATACACATATTTGCACACACGTGTGCAGGGAGGGTGAGCTAACTACCTGTTCATTCACGCCCCGTGCAGGGTGGGAGGATGCACCATCCGAGCTCAGCAGAAGAGACACTCACTTCCCTTGGACCACACAGCCCATGCTTTCTGGAAACATGCTGGCCGAGAAACAGCCAGGCAGCATTTCCCAAAACATCTTCCCCCGCATCGTGTTCCGCAGGCTGTCAGTAAGCAACAATGCTTAAATTAGGCAAGGTAGGATGGACAAAATCACACAGAATTCTTTACTGTACGAGCAGGAGGGGGAGGGTTTGGGCCTCCGTAATATGCTAATAAGCCCCAGCAATCCACAGGAGAGGAATACATTTATGATACATGAAATGTGCAAATGTTCAAGGAGATCACAAGATCCTGGAAACGCTGCTGCTCAGTGTCGGCTGGGACGGTCAGGCCCAGGCTTGGGGTAGGTGGGGAGACCCAGGGAAGGGGCGTGGGAATGGCAGCTCTTGGAGGCCAAGCCAGACCCTCCAGCCAGCCCCAGGGCAGCTGAGAGCACAGGGCAGGACCCTAGCTCAAGCCTCTACTTCTACTTGCTCAACGGCCCCAACCTATCCCTTGGTACAAACAGTTCTTCCAAGCCAAAGCAACAAAAGGGCACGAAACTCCACTTGGAAACTCCATCAGGAAAGCCAAGAAAACATTTTTTTTTCCACACGTCAGAGACAAGGCCAAACCGGGGTTAAAAATGAGATTCCAGCTGGGGGCTCGGCGGGAGGGAGTACACCCGCCCTCTCCCAGCTGCACAAGGTCTCAGCAGAGTCTTGTTTTCAAGACAAACAAACATGACCTGGAAGCCACAAGACAAGAATGTGGATCCTCTGGGTCCTGCACAGAGGGCAAGCCTTCCCAAGCTGCAGAAATGTCACTGCAGTTCCAGCAAAGAAGGAAGGAGGGAGGGGAGGAGGGAGGGGAGGAGGGAGGGGAGGAGGGAGGGGAGGATGGGTGGCAGGAGCTGAGGGACTCTCAGCCGGGGACATGGAAGGGGCCAGAGCCTCCATGAGCTGGACAGGGGTCCCATGGCCAGCCAGATCACTCCAATCTCATACTTCAAACCTGGAAAACATAGGAACAAACTTAAGTGACTCGCCAGCCCCAGGGACACTGGGACCCGGAGTTCTCTCATCAACCATGTTTTGGGAAACCTGTCTTGCTTTATTCTCAGCATCACTCCTTCACTCATTCCTTCAACATCTTCCTCCACGATGCTGACTGCCCCTGGCACATCCAGGTGCGGGGGCCTATACAGCCAGTAGGGGTACTTCCAGAAATTCTTGCGGAAATGCAATGAAAGCTAAGCTTGGGTTCCAAATGATTTCGAAATACACACCTTCAAAGAGACCACAGAATATGGGTATTATGAAAGAGCAGTATGCATTTCAAACATTTTTTATACCAAAATAAGCTGTTTATTTTATAATTCTATTTTCCCAACACATTTTTTACAGTACCCTCTTGACAAGATAATAACTGGACACAGGTTTGGTTCTCAGCCTCAGTTGCTAGGACCCAGCTTTCAGAACCCACAGAGATGAGGGCAAGAGGAGCGTCCTGCCTCGCCCCTTCCAGGGTGCTGAGGAGGTGGCCCTTGGCTTCAGCACGGGGCTGGCCACCTGAGAGATGCAGCCCAGCTCAGATGAGAGAAGGGAGGCCCGTGGCTTAACCAGAGGTGCTTGTTCAGGGGTATTCCATAGGGTCCCCGAGCTTGCAAGTGGACAGGCTTGAAGGACAGAGCCCTCACACCATGGGAGACGGGATGAGACGGCCCACTAACTGTCCAGAAAGTCGAGGCAGCTGTTGCTGATGGACAGCCTCCATGAGTGGACCCTCTTATGGGAAAATTAACAAACTCGCTCACATGCACAAGTTCCAACAAGACATACAGGTGCAAAACACACCTCAACAGAGTTGATTAAAAATAACAACTTGGAGCCAGTGTCATAACATAGCAAGTTCAATCACTGCCTGAAGTGCCAGCATCCCATATGGGCACCGGTTCAAGTCCTGACTGCTCATTTCTGATCCAGCACCCTGCTAATGTGCTCAGGAAAACAGCAGAGATAAGTCCTGTCTGGAGCTGGCAAGATGGGTAAAGCTGTGGTCAGGGGAGAGCAGCGGTTTCCCACGGGGTTCCCCACCAGGCTCAGGGCAGAGCAGCTCACACCCTGAAAGGCCAGGGGCAGAACCAGAGTGGCAGAGCAGGGTTCTCCAACGCCATGATTCAGATGCCAGGGCTACCGAGCATGGGGTTGGCGGTGGCACTGGCTTCCAGTTCCCTGATGCCAGGAGTACTCCCTTGGGGTCTGATGTCCCCTGGGAGATGCAGGAACTGCCGCAGCTGAGGACCCCTGCCTTAGAGGGAGGACACGAGGACAGGGGACGACACGAACGCCGAATGGGAATCAGGAAGCCCAACTGTTCCACCAGAACCAGCCAAAGCAAGGCTGGGGAGAGGCAAAGGTTTGGGGGGCCTGGGTGGGGGGCACCGGGCAGGGGGGCGGTGGAGGAACCGGATGGGACAGGAGGCAGGAACCAGACCTTACAGGGTCTCAAAGTCCGGAGTTGAGGGGAGCGTGCAAATCTGTAGGCACACTCACATTCTCCCCAAGGCGTCTCGGCAGGGCAGGCAAGAGCAGTGCCATGACTGTGCTGACAGCAAAGAGGGGGCTATCATGTTCCTTCACTGGCCTTTCCCACGTGCCACACAACACCCCAGGAAGGGTCTCGGAGAAACCCGACCCTCAGGAGTGCTTCCTTCAGAGCCAGGCAAGAGCTCCACTTGTCGGCAACGCCCACACCTTGGTGCCAGCCGACACTGCTCAGACAGGTCCCTGGGCACTTTTGTGCACGTACCCACTCCAGGCCTCGGGTGTGCATTTCAGCTAAAATTCTGGTCCTACCCAGCCTCCCCTCCATGCCCAGGGCCAGACCTGTGGGAACCTGCTGTCCCTGCCAGAGATCAGATAGCAGGTCCCAAAATAGAAAGTGTTCCATTACCCAGCCCTTGCTCAGAGACCCCCATTAACCTGTGCACCTCACGCGTCATCAGCCAGCCATTTGTAACAGAATTGTAATTGAGAGACCCAGAAAGCCCACTTTAGATAAAGTAATTGAATGCCTGCTGGGTGCCAGTTCGGTAAAGGGCATCCGATTTCACCCCAGGAAAAACTTATTAAATTATGGCAGCTATAAGCTGATGTGGTAGAATAAGGAGATACAAACTTCAAAAGAAATTTGGGTGGATTTCAATAAATAGCCTCATTTAGGTAGAATGTCCATATCTGCCCTCGGGGGGAGGGGGCAGAAAAAGAAAAAAATAGCTAATTATTTTAGCTTGCAGAGGGGAAAAAGGATGGCCCTAATTAACCTTTACTAAAACACGAAACCTTCTTCTTTTGATTAGTATGTCTAACCGCTGACGCTTCTCTTCAGGCAAAGAATGTGGAAATACCCCCTTTTTTTTTCTCCTGAGGAATATCAGTCACCCAGTGGGAGAGAGGCATCTTTCGCAGCAAGCTCAGCACAGCTGTCACCAAGACGGAGGAGCTGTGCACCCCGACGTGTGCACTGTGCACCCCGTCACGGTCAGCGAACACCACCAAGTCGGCCCCTTGACCGACACTCAGGGCCCACTGGTCCACGGCTTGGGATTCCACACGCGTGTCCGTGTGGGAACTTCAGACAAGTGCCTGGAACTTGGTGTTCTCCGATGAAACCCTCATCACCAGATCTCCCGCGGGCTGGAGGGAGAAGCCCAGCGCCTGGGTCTGACCTGGAGCAAAATACAGAATCTCTTCTCCCCCATTTCCTCTGAAGCAGAATGTAAATTACAGGCCCCGCATCACAGCACCACTGTGAGCAGCAAGTGGATGAACTTCTGTAAAGTTCTTAAGGAATGTCTGGCTTGGGCCCAGCGTGGTAGACTAGCGGCTAAAGTCCTCAGTTTGCGTACACCAGGATCCCATATGGGCACCAGTTTGTATCCCGGCAGCTGCAATTCCCTTCCAGCTCCCTGTTTGTAGCCCTGGAGGGCAGTCAAGGATGGCCCAAAACCTTGGGACCCGGCACCCATGTGGGAGACCTGGAAGAAGCTGCCGGCTTTGGATCGGCCGAACAAATATGCAGAGAAGATGAGAGACAAAGAAGAAACTCTTCCATCCGATGATTCACTCCGCAAGTGGCAGCAACGGCCGGTGCTGAG